GGAAAGAGCCTGCGTACGTCACCGTCCCATGATGTGGTCAGCATGTCAACTGCACAGGCGGGGTGCCAAGCAATATCCTGTGTGCTGCTGAAGGGGCTGGGGCGCGGCCACCGGTCTGCACAGGCAACACCATGGCGCTCACGGTGGTCAGCATGGCGTGTGTCGGTGAGTCCTGTAGGGAATCGAGGGAGGGAGCGATGGGGTGGGGATCTGGGCCTGGGGGGCAGATCTGGGCCCGGTGGGGTGATCTAGGCCTGGGGTGGAGATATGGGCCTGGGGTGGGGATATTGCCTCTAGTGGAGATAAGAGCCTCGTGGTATAGATCTGGGCCTGGAGGCTGGGCCTCTGCACAGCCAAGAGCCCTGTTGTCTGGGGTCACATGGGCAACGAGGCTGAGTTTACCTTCAACCTGAAAAGGGCCTGGCTGCCAAGGCACACAGCCCTTTCGGGGCAGCAGTGCAGGCCTGGTGTGTGTGCAGATGGATCGTCCATCATGATCTCTCTTTCCAGGGTTCTTCTTGGTCCATGGAGTCTGGACACAAAAGGGTGAGTCCTTCCCCAAATGTTAGGGTGTCATCTCCCCACATAAGGGAGTTTCCTGAAACAGAATAAAAGTCCTGTGGGGGAGTCTCTCATAAACTAGGAAGAGGGGGCCCTGGGGTGCTCGGCGCACAGTTCTGACCCAGCCCTTCCCAGCCTTTCCTTCCCTTGGCTGAGTCAAGCTCTGCGGGGACTGGGGTGAGACTGGGGTGCTCCAAGCTGGGCTGTGTGGGGAGGAAGTCGTGTCACCGGCAGAGGAAGGGAGGGAAGCAGTGCTAGGGAAGGCCGACCCTCTGAGGACAAAGGTGTAACTCACACCCTCCAGCATCTCCATGACGGGAGGGGCTGCCGTGTGGCTGCTGGCATTCTACCAGAAGAGGTGGGGGAACCCCAGCCATGAGCTTCACGTTCTAAGTCCTCTGTTGGGGGCTCCGTTGTTTATTGTGGTTCACGCAGTGGCCGATACTCCATTCGCAAAGGACGTGCCCTGCAGCCCATGTCTACTTCGTGTTGTTTTATGAAAGCAGTTTTGCAGTATTAAAATCTACTAAGAGTCCCTCATTCAGCACTTGCTCAGATTTCTCTGCTGACAGGTTTGTTGTAGGGAGACGCCATGTCTGTGCAGGATGGGTCCTTCCTGTAGCTCTGAGCACCCAGGTGTGGCAGGAGCCTTAGGAACGTGGAAAGGGAAAGAATCTCCTGAGCATGGGGAGGGAGGGGCGGCTCCACATCTTCCTGTCTAAGGCGAAGCCTCCTTCTCCCCCAGGTGGTTGGGACAATCCCTTCCTGTCTGCCTGGCCCAGCACTGTGGTGCCTCGAGGAGGACACGTGACTCTTCGGTGTCACTATGGTGGTGGGTTTAACAACTTCACCCTGTACAAAGAAGACAGACTCCACGTTCCCATCCTCCAGGGCGTTATATCCCAGGAGAGCTTCCTCATGGGCCCTGTGACTGCAGCACATGCAGGGACCTACAGATGTCGGGGTTCTCACCGACACTCCCCTACTTCATGGACGGCACTCAGCAACCCCCTGAAGATCATGGTCACAGGTCAGAGGGCTCCTGTCTGGGCTTCTCACTGTCCCACTTTCTGAATCCCAGAGCTTCTGGTGGGGTGTCCATCAGGGTCCGAACACCCAGGCCCTGACTGTATTTGAGGTAAAGGGGATTGAATACAGGGAAGTGGGTGCTGTGGTGGGAACAATAACTGTCCCCAGTGATGGCCACATTCTCATCCCTGGAGCTTGTGACTATTTCTGTTACAGGGCAGGGGACTGAAGGGGAAGATGGAGCTCAGGTTGTTGATGAGTTGACCTTGAGATGGGAAGGCTGCCTGGACTGTCCAGCTGGGCTCAGTGCTATCACAAGGGCCCATGTGAGAGGAGGAGGAAGAGGGGAGTGGGGATTAGAGCAGCGCAGTGGGAGGGAGATTCCACCAGCCACTGCGGGCTCTGAAGGTGGAGGAAGGCCAGGAGCCATGAATGCAGGTGGCCTCTAGGGGCTGGAGAAGACATGGGAACTGATTCTCCCCTGAGTCTCCAGAGGGAACGCAGCCCTGCAGACCCCCTGATTTTAGCCCAGGTAGGACTGGGTCCGATTTCTATCTCCAGAAGGGGAAGGGTCAGTGTGTTCTCTCCTGCTGCCATATTGTGATAATTTTCTACAGCAGCAACAGGAGACAACACAGGAACCCAGAGCAAGGACAAGTTAAGACTCCACACCAGGAGAAGGGTGGCTACCCCAAGGTCAGCAAGGGTGGGATGCTGAGGCCACCACCAGGCTCGATCCACATAGGGAGGGGTCGATGCTCCTGGAACCAGCACCAGGGGCCGCCCTATGGAAGCTGGGACCATGGAGGAGCACAGACATGGCAGGAGAGGCTCCCAGTCCCCACCAGGAACAGGGTGTGTGGACACTGGTGCCCGCCTTACTCATCAGTTCATACCTCCTGCCAGGGATTCCACTTTGTCCACAACAGATTGAACCAGGCTGTTCAGAGCCTGGACGTGCGGCCTGTCGTGGTTCCTCTTCCAACCTCACATGGACAGGAAGAGAGAGATTAGTGGGAAACAGAAACCACAGCCCAAGGGACGAGGCTGGGCCCAGTGGGAAGGAGTCAGGGGCTACTAGAGACAGAGCCAGAGAAGAGGGAGGGAGACAGATGGAGGGGCCTGCACCAGGGTGACGGGCACAGAAAAGAGCGTGGAGACGCAGAGAGGGAGAGAGAGTCAGACACCGGGGAGGGGACGCCTCATTCATTCCAGGTCCCAGGAATGGGATGAGAAAGGGAGACGCCTTCTAAACTCACAATCTGTTTTTTTTCTTTCTTTTTTTTTTTTGTCTTTTGTATTTTTCCTTTTTCTGGAGAACGGGGTCTCGCTATATAACCCAGGCAGGTCTTGAACTCCTGGGCTCAAGCTATCCTCCCACCTCTGCCTCCCTAACAGCTGGGATTACAGGCGTGAGCCACAGCGCCCGGATATACACACAATCTCTTTTCGTAGGATTCCACAGAAAACCTTCCCTCCAGGCCCTCCCAGGTCCCCTGGTGAAATCAGGAGAGACGGTCATCCTGCAATGTTGGTCAGATATCATGTTTGAGCACTTCCTTCTGCACAGAAAGGGGATCTCTGAGGATCTCTTGCACCTCGTAGGAGAGCCCTGTGATGGGGGCTCCCAGGCCAACTTCTCCATAGACCCTATGAAGCCTGGCCTTCCAGGGACCTACAGATGCTACGGTTCTGTCACTCAATCCCTCTATGAGTGGTCGGCTCCCAGTGACCCCGTGGACATCGTGATGACAGGTGAGAGTGTCCAGACATTCTTCTCATTGTCACTGGGACACAGAGTGAATGATCCAGGACTTGGAAGCCCCAGGTGCTCATGAAAAAGATGAGCGTCGGGTTCTTATGGAGAGAGACTGACTTGGTGAGGTCTGTACCAGCTGAGACAGAGAAACAGGAGACACAAGTAGAGACCACACGTCATAACAGAGGACAGACACGGGGGCCAGTACAGGGAGTGAGAAAACACAGAAAGAGGTAAAGGGGACAGACAGGGAGACAAACATGTCCCAGAGAGAGGTGTCCTTCCATGCTGGCTTTGTTCAGACACCTGGCACAGGGTAGAAGTTTTATTTCTGCATTTCCTCCACAAAGTGTTCTCTACCAGGAGAACCCAAAGACACCCAGATTTCTGACCTGAGTTGGGCCCTCTGGCCTCAGGCCTTGCGGCACCTACAGACGCCGTGTTTATTCTGACACGTCTGCCTTCTGTGCAGTGCATCTGTAATCGACCCAGGATAACATGGCCCCGGAACACTAACCCCAGTGTGCTATGTGTACTTGGGGTCCCCAGACTGGATTCTGAGGGTCATATTCCAACTAATCCCGCATATTGTAGCATTACTGAGAGATACAGAGAGAAATCAGGGACATCAGAATGCAAAGACATAAACACACACAGAATGAGCCAGGGAAGGGGATTGAGAGACTCACAGACACATAAAGAGAGAGAAAAGAGGGCAGAGAAGTGGAGGGAATGATGGAAGGGAGCAGAGAAACGCCCTAAAATCAGGGCCCTGAGAGAGGGGCACAAGGAGAGAGAAAGATGGAGATGTGGGACGGATTCCAGAGATTCCAAAGAGAACTAGAGAGATGGAGAGGCAGAGAGAGACAAGGAGATGGAGAGACAGATGATAAATGGGTGGATAGACAGAGATAGATAGATGATAAATAGGTGGATGACAGATCACAGATAGGTTATAAATACGTAGATCATTGATTGACACATGATGCATAGAGATGATGATGATAGAATAGGCAGACAGTGAGATAATAGATGATACATAGATATAGATAATAGATGATTGATGCATAGAAAGATAATTGATAGAGACATAGATAGATGATACATAGATATAGATAATCGATATTTTGTAAAAACCAAATACAGAAATAGAGACATACATAATAGTTAGAAATAGGCAGAAGGTTATGAACAAGACAGAAAGTGAGAGACTCGGAATTAAAGGAAAAAGATCAAGTCCACCATTCCAAGTAGAGTCAGAGAGAATAAAACAATGCAAAAAACAGAAAACCTACCTGGGGTGAGGAAGTGAGGGGAGAGACCTAGAGAGACACAGAAGGTAGAGGGAAAAAACAGACATGAAGAGAGATGGGCTGGAGGGTGAGAGAGCGTTAGCTCACAGAGCAGGGGCGTGAGTTCTCAGCTCAGGTGTGAAGGAGCTGTGACAGGGAAGAGCCTCCCGAGTAAACTGCCTCTTCTCCTTCCAGGTCAATACGAGAAACCTTCTCTCTCAGCCCAGCCGGGCCCCACGGTTCAGCCAGGAGAGAACGTGACCTTGTCCTGCAGCTCCCGGACCTCATTTAACGTGTACCATCTATCCCGGGATGGGGAGGCCCCTGAACTCAGGCTCCCTGCAGTGCGGAGCGTCAACGGAACATTCCAGGCCCACTTCCCTCTGGGCCCTGCCACCCACGGAGGGACCTACAGATGCTTCGGCTCTTTCCGTGACTCTCCCTACGAGTGGTCAGCCCCGAGTGACCCATACCCCTCCCCCACAGGTGAGCAAACCCCATACCTGTCCCATGTCTGATGATCCTAGAGCCACAGCTGAGGAACTTCCTGCTGATGATGGAGGGAAGCATGGACAGATGCAGAGAGAAGACGAAGCCTGGGTGTGAGGGCGGGGTCAGGGGCACGATGGCAGACAGGGCACCTCCAAGCCCTGCTCCACGGCCCGCATGGAGGCCCGCGATCAGGGCTCCGGGCACCCAGGCAGATGGAGAGAGCGGTCAGGACAGGCCCAGAGGAGGGGAGACAGGGCTCAGTTTGGGGGAATCAGAGGTTCCCTCTACCGCTCAACCTCACCCATTGCCCAGAAACCCATCCTGGCCTCTCACCCACAGAGAGACGTCATCACCAGCAACCCCCATGCCCTTTTCTTTTCATTTGGAAAAATATTTATTGAGGTTAAATATACCCATGTAATTTACCACCTTTACCTTTTTATGAGACTGAATCTTGCTCCACTGCCCAGGCTGGAGCGCAATTGCACGATCTCAGCTCACTGCAACATCTGCCTCCTGGTTTCAAGCAATTCTCCTTCCTCGGCCTCCCAGGTAGTTGGGATTACAGGCTCACACCACCATGCCCGGCTGATTTTTGTATTTTTAGTAGAGATGAGGTTTCACCATGTTGACTAGGCTGGTCTTGAACTCCTGACCTTGTGATCCGCCACTTTGGCCACCCAAAGTGCTGGGATTACAGGCGTGAACCCCTGCGTGCGGCCTCACCTTTACCATTTTTAAGTGTAAAGTCCAGTGGTAATGGATACATTTATATTCTTTTTTATTGTTGTTACCCTCTCTGCTTTGCTTCCTGGCCCCCTGTAGCCACCATTCTCTCTACCTTCATGAGATCCACCTGCTAGCTCCTGCAGATGGGTGAGAAATGGCAATCTGTGTCATGCCCTCCAGTTCCATCCTGGTCGCTGGAAGTGGCAGGAGGTCATTGCTCTTATGGAGGAGGGGTCTCCACTGTGCGTATGTGCTACGTTCTCTCTATCCACCCATCCACTGATGGGCAGGCGGGTTCGCTCCACACCTCAGTTATTGTGAATTGGGCTGCACCGATCGTGGGAGCACAGATGTCACTTCGATTCACTGATGTCCTTTCCTTTGTGTTTAAACCCAGTAGTGAGATGGCTGGATACTGTGAAAGTTCTTTTTAGCTTTTTTTTTTTCTTGAGATGGAGTTTCCCTCTGTAGCGCAGGCTGGAGGGCCGCGGCGCCATCTTGGCTCACTGCAACTCTGCCTCCTGGGTTCACAGGATTCTCCTACCTCTGCCTCCCTAGCAGGAATTTTCCCTCTTTGACACAAGTGCCCTCCTTGCCATTGACCTTAGCTAAACCATGGCAACTCATAAATAGTGGACACATGAATGAATTAAAAGCTTTCCTTATTTTTGTAACTAATATTTGCATGTTTTCTTAGTCTCTTTCCAAGTTCTTGGAAATCACAGGTGCACGCCACCACGCCTGGCTAAGTTTTGTATTTTTTAGTACAGACAGGGTTTCGCCAGCTTGGGTAGCCTGTCGCAAACTCCTGACCTCAAGTGAGGTGCCCGCCTCAGTTTCCCAAAGTGCTGGGATTACAGGCATGAGCCACCACACCTGGCCTCTTTTTAGTTTTTTTTTAAAGACCTTCCATACTTCTCCGTAATGCCTGTACAAATTTACATTCCTGCCGACAGGGTACCAGTGTTCTCCTTTCTCTACCTTCTTGCCAGCATTTGCTTTGCCTGTCTTGCAAATTAAAGCCGTTTTAATGAGGTGAGATCAAAACTCACTGTGATTTTAGTTTGCATTTCTCTGATGATGAGTGATACTGACCACTTCTTCATAGACATGATGGCCATTTGTATGTGTTGTTTGTGGAGAAATGTCTCTTCATGTTTTTTGCTCTTTTTTAAATTAAATTATTTGTTTTATTGAGTTGTTTGAGCTCCTTATATTTCTAGTTTTTCATTTGTTTGTTTTTTTTGTTGTTTTGTTTTGTTTTGTTTTGGGACGGAGTCTCACTCTGTTGCCCAGGCTGGAGTGCAATGGTGCCATCTCGTCCCACTACAACCTCCCCCTCCCAGGTTCAAGGATTCTCCTGCCTCACCCTCCTGAGTAGCTGGGATTACAGGCATGTGCCACCATGCCCGGATAATTTTGTATTTTGAGTAGAGACAGGGTTTCTCCATGTTGGTCAGGCTGGTCTCAAACTCACAATGGCACCCTTGTGAAAGTCCACTGGACGGGCTGTGCATGGTGGCTCACAGCTGCAATCTCTTCACTTTGGGAGACCAAGATAGGTGGATCACCTATGACCAGCAGTTCGAGACCAGCCTGGCCAACATAGTGAAACCCCTTCTCCACTACAAGTACAAATCTTCCTGAGCATAGTGGTTGGTGCCTGTAATACCACTAGTCGGGTGTCTGAGGCAAGAGACTTGCTGGAAACCAGGAGACGGAAGTTGCAGTGACCTGAGACTGCACCTCTGCACTGCAGCCTGGGTGACAGAGCGAGATTCCATCTCAAAAAAAAAAGAAAGAAAGAAAGAAAGAAAGAATAAGCCATTGGCTGTGAATGCATGGGTTATGTCTGTGTTCTTCATTCTCCTCCACTGTTCTATGAGCCTTTCTTTATGCCAGCGTCATGCTGTTTTGCTTACTTCGGCTCTGTAACATATTTTTAAGTCAGGTAGTGTGATGCCCCTGTTTTCTCGTTACACCTTGAAGTCTCAAGACAGTGGGCATCACATACAAAAGTTATGGAGCAGAGGACCCCACGACTCCCAGGCCAGGGCCCAATAACAGAGTGTTGGCCATGAACCAACCTCAGAGATTTCCACCGAGTACAAGACAGGCATCCTCATTGCCACACCTCTCTCCTGTCCCGTGTTCTAGGAAATCCTACAAGCGGTTGGCCTTCACCCACTGAACCAAGCTCCGAAACTGGTGAGTAAAGGACCCTCTTGTCTCTGCTTTAGGAAACCTGGGGAGGGGGAAGCCTTGGATTCAAGCGTTGGCTCAGCACCTCCCAGCTGGGTGACTGAGGGCCTGTCTTCTACCATCTCTGAACCCCGGACACTCCAACAGGAAAAGGGATCTGGGGCCAGCGCAGGGCTCAGTGAAGTCTCTTACTCTCTAATTTTCTGCAGCTGAGACCTCCTTGAGGCTAGAAGAATGATTGCAAATCTGACATCCTTCTCAGGAAAGAATGCAGTGTTTGTTCTGCCTGCATTCCTAACTGGAGGATAAATGCCTGGGGGGCTTGAGAGGGAAAGAAAGGGAACATCTGATGAGGGTGGGGCGTTTTAGAGAAGTTCCACTTGCCAAGGAATTAACTCCTGTGGGTCATGATGCAACCCTGGCTGACTCAGCAGGAGCAAGAGCATTGCAGTAAGAGAACTGAGCTCATGCACACACACTTTGACTCCATCACTGCACTCGACGCAATCACTCACTGCAACCTCTGCCTCCTGGGTTGAAGTCCCTCCGCCTCCTGGGTTGAAGATGACTTCAACCCAGGAGGCGGAGGTTGCAGTGAGCCGTGGTTGCAGCACTGCACTCCAGCCTTGGGTGACACAGGGAGGCTCCATTTCAAAAATTAAAATTAAAAAATATATAAATATTATATAACACACACAAATGACAAAGGCACCTGAATTCCAATCATCATTTTTCTACTTCTCTATAATTACTGTTTTGATCCCTAATCTTATACATTAGAAAATCAGCCTAGACCCTCTTCCCTATTTGGAAAGCATCAGATCATATGGAAAATGAGAAAGCCCTCGACCCACCAGCACAGGTCCTGAAATAGAGAAAGTGCTCTATTCATGGCATAAAAGTTGCCCCCTCACCCAAATCCCCTGCCTCACCCCTACTTCCAATCACGTGTGGAGATACAGATAGATGATGGGGAGGTGAAAACTAATATTCTTTGAGTGAGCTCAGTTCTTGGACTCAGAGAGCAAAGCCAGCACTATCTCCTGGTCCCCTTTCCTACTAATTCACAGAAGGACAGGCTGTATTTTGAAGCAATAGATGATGGAGGGGGTTGTTCCTCCCCCTGCCTCTCAGGGAGAGCAGCCTATTATACGTATCACGAGATCACAAAAAGTAACACGTTGCCCACGGGCTTCCGCACTATTTCCTGGCTGTTCGATATAAGACAGTTCTACTTCACTTCTTTTGATTTCAATTTCACTTTTTTTTCTTTTCTTGGAGAATGTAATTTGTTTCAGTCAAGGGCGTTGTGGATGTAGAAGTTGTAAAGCATGTTCACTGTGTATCAGTCCCAGTCCAGTCTTCCTGGAGAAGACTCTGAACACCTCCTGGACTGCACCTGGCGCCATGCCAGTTTCTGTCACTGACAGTCACTCCAGGGAGACAGAGCACAGACAGAATACATTACATAAAGCAGGTTCATTACTCACAGATCAGCAGCAAGTGATGGCAGAAGCCTACCTTTCAGGGCCAGCCACTCCCCCGAGGCTCAGAAAAGCTGCCCAGGACATAGGGAGTCACCCCATATGCAGTGTAGCTGGGGAAACCCAAAAAGCAGCCCCACCTGGGTTTTGCACCCTGGAGCCACAGGAAGCACTGGGCTAAAGGACTGCATCACACCCTCCTCTCGGGAGAGCAGGAGGAGAGCCCAGGCTGTTCTGAGACGTTCCTCCTGATCTCAGGACGTTGCTGTCTTAGTCCATTTTTGTTGCTATCAAAGAGCACCTGAGCCCGGGTAACTTCTAAGGGAAAGAAAATTGTCTGGCTCACAGTTCCGCACGCTGTACTAGAAACATGGACCCACCATCTACTCCTTGTGATGACCTCAGGCTGCTCCCACTCTGGCAGAAGAGAATGGGGATCTCTGTGTACAGCGACCACAAAGATCACATGGCAAGAGCGGGAGCAAGGGGGTTGGATGGAGCTTTCAAGCTCTTTTTAAGAACCAGCTCTCCAGGAACGAATAGAGGGAGAACTTCCTAACCCTGTCTCGTGGGGACAGCATTGATCTATTCATGATGGCTGCACCCCCATGACACAGGCACCTCCCAATAGGTCCAACCTCCCAAACTGTGGGTTAAATTTCAGTGTGAAGTTTGGAGGGGTCACACTTCCAAATGATGGCAGTGGTATCCCAGCACGTTCTCTGATAATTTTGAGAGCTATAACTGAAAAGGCAGAAGAAAGCTGGGTCACCGTCATCAGGGGACTTGTCCTAAAGAGACGTCGTACATGGTTACTTGGCAATCAAGAAATGAGAGACAGTCCACGAAGAGGAAGCGCTGGGCTCAGCTTCTTGTTGGATTCCCATCTTCCTCCAGGTTTCCCCGGACACCTGCACATTCTCACTCGGTGCTCAGTGGTCATCACCCCCTTCACCATCCTCCTGTTCTTGCTCCTTCATCTCTGGTGCTCTCACAAAAGAGTAAGTCTCACAAAGCAGAGGCCAGAGACCTCCATGCCATGTGCGGAAGCAGGATGGAGCATGCAGGTGTGTGCTTTTAACTGGCAGGACAGTCCGTGGCCCAAGTCAGGAGCCGCAGAGGCAGGGCTTTCTAGAGAGAGCACCAGACACCCTGCCCCTGCTCACAGATTGTTGCCTGATTCTGAACTATATCCTCACCCCTCCGGCAGCCACTGACATCCAGGAGAAGGTTCCATGACAGGCAGAAAGTGGGAGACAGAATCAATGGGATGGGAATTGCGAGCTATTGATGGGAGGGATTCCTGTACTCAGATAGAATGTCTGAATCTGGCCATTGGCAGCGGAGGGGCCTCAGGCACCCATGGCCTCCCCCTGTGTGTTGGTGTCTGCACATGAAATGAGGACCCAGAAGTGTCCTCCTAGGTGTTTTGATGACTTCCGTCTCCTGCAGATGCTGCAGTAATCGACCAAGAGCCTGCGGTGGACAGAACAGTGAACAGGGAGGTAGGTGCTCCTTGGCCCAGCCTCGGGGATGGGGTCTTATTCCCTAACAGTCCCGAAGAATGTGAGCCCCTCCCTCAGTCAACAGTTCCGTCTCTCCAGGGCTCTGATGGACAAGACCCTCAGGAGGTGACATACGCACAGCTGGATCACGGCATTTTCACACAGAGAAAATATGCTCGTCCATCTCAGAGGCCCAGGAGACCCCCACCAGAAACCAGTGTGTACACGGAACTTGCAAATGCGGAGCCCAGATTGAAGGTTGTCTCCTGTCCGTGAGCACCACAGACAGGCCCTGAGGGGTCCTCTAGGGAGACAATGGCCCTGACTCAAACCCGGCTTGCCAGCTCCAGTGTAGCAGCAGCTGGGACCTGAAGGCGTGAGTCTGTGTCTCAGGGGATCGCTCTTCCTCACACCATGAATCTGAACGTGGCTCTCTCTTGCTTACAAATGTCTGCGGTCCTCACTGCCTGCTGGACAGAAAACACACTCCTTTGCTTAACACACAATTCTCCATTTCACTTGACCCCTGCCCACCTCTGCAACCTAACTGGCTTACTTCCTGGTCCTACCTGAGGCTGCAGAAACAGTGAGAAACTCACAAGTCCAGACATACAAGAGGCTCCCTCTTAACACAGCACTTAGACACATGCTGTTCCACCTTCCCTCATGCTGTTCCATCTTCCCTCAGACTTTGAGGGATTTTGCAGCCTTCTGTCATCAGTAAAATTTTTAAGTTCTTTTTATATATAATTTTGATGTAGTTCTCTTCAAATAAACACGTCTGCCCTCATGAGTTAGGTAATGTGACTCTTTTTTTGCCTAAACGTTTCATGCTATCATTGCTATGTCCATATTACCCCATATGTTCTCCACTGGGTTCTCACCCCTGGACTGGGAGCTTCTGGAAGCAGGTGGAGCCTGGTTTGTCCCTGGGACTCCAATTTCCATCCAAAGATGCAGCACATAGGAAGATCCCAGACCGTGAATCAGATGGACACGTGCTCTTCTTACTCTCTGCAGACCTGGAAAGCTCGCAGAGTAATTCCAAGATGAAGCATCTGCAGGTTTATCACCTTGTTAGTCTCATCTCCACGAGGACACTTATCAAAACACCATCTTTCACAGGATAAATGCACAGTCGGTCCTCCGTATCTGTGGGGTTCACAGCTGTGTATCAAACCAACTATAAAGCAAAAATATTCAGAGAAAAAAATCCACAAACTTCCAAAAGGCAAGACTATGTTGAATGGACCCGAGTGAAGCTGTGCGTAGCCTGTATCAGAAACTATAAGTCATCTAGAGAGGATCCGACGTATACAGGAGGATGTGCAGGGTGATATACACTCACTAAGTGATTTCATGTAAGAGGCTGGAGCGTCTGCAGATTTTGACATCTGAGTGAGGATCCTGGGACCAGTCACCCAGAAGAGTAAAGGAACACTGTATATAATTTTTATTTGTCAATTTTACAAATAAATCGTAAAATATTTACAATAAGGTAAAAAAGAAGCAGTGTTTTCACAAGGCCAGAATACATTTACATTTATGTTTCAGACAAGTCACTCTTTGGTCCAGTGTTATTTATTGAGGAGACATTCTATTCCACCTTAAAGCACATGGCAGCCTTTGTCAACTCTAAAGGGCCTGTGTGTGCACGGATGTGTTTTAGACACTGTTTTCTGCTCACTGGCTGTGTCCACTCTCGTGAGGATGCTGCAGTTTATGTGACTTTATACAACCCTTTAACATTTGGTAGCCTGAGTCCTCTAATTTCTTATTAGAGGCTGTTTTCCAATTTTTTTTTTTTTGATACAGACTCTCCGTCTCTGACCCAGGCTGGAGTGCAGTGATGCGATCTCGGCTGACTGCCACCTCTGCTCCTATGTCCAAGCGATTCTTGTGCCTCGGCCTCCCAACTAGAGGGATTACAGGCACCCACCACCATGCCTGGCTAATTTTTTTTTTTTTAAGTATAAACAAGGTTTCACCATATTGGCAAGGCTGGTCTCGAACTCCAGATCTCAGGTGATCCACCCACCTCATCGGCCTCACAAAGTGCTGGGCAAAAGTTGATTTTCTATAGGATTATATTACTGGATATTTCTGCAAATTTTAAAATGAGGAAAAGAGAGAGAGAGAATCATTAGTTTGGACTCTGGTTTTGGGTTATGAGACAACTTCTAGATAAAACTACAAAATCTAGAATTTACAAGTTGTGTTTTTGCTAATAAAGTACACTTCTAAGACTGTAAATAACTGGAAAGTCCTTCACTGAGAATTTAAATCATTTTACCTGCTTCTGGCTTAGTACAAGAAATACGAGCAAGAAAAATACTAGTGTTTTTTTTTGTCACAATTACTCTAATAATGCTAATAATAGCTATTAGGTATTTTGCATACTACACATGTAGAAGATTGGATCGGAGACGTGTTTTGAGTTGGTCATGGTGAAGGAGGCGAGGTGACGATTCTGGTCAGAACAATTTCCAGGAAGCCATGTTCCTCTCTTGACCGAACACCCAGTGGGCCTCATGCGAGGTGGAAAGAGCCCGTGTACGTCACCTGGCTGCATACGTCACCATGGCTGAAGTGAGGTGTAGGACAGCTCCAGCCCTCAGCTCCCCATCCCAACCCAGCAGGCCCTCAGGACCAGCTTGTCCCTCCCACGGAGTCTGATCCCCGGAGTGGTGAGTGAGGGGCTCTGAGTGGGAGGTGGGCGGGGAGGGGGGCAGGGTCCAGGTGAGGCAGGGCTGGGTTCTGTCATTGGATTAAGGCTCCTCTGGAGATGGTGACGTGGATAGGCCCCTCCCCTATTTGGGCCTCAGTTTCTCCAAGTGTAAAGGAGAGAGGCCTGTGCTGTGGGACTGTGACTGGGGAGGGCAGGGCCCCTCGGCTGGGGCACTGGCGACTGGCAGCTTTGGGCACAGGGCCCGCTCACACTTCCCTCCTGAAGAAGTGGCGCTCAGTTTTGCTCTGGGGACACGCAAATGTGCCAGGTCTCCCCATACTCTCCCTGGACCTGGGGCAGCAGGGGCCAAGGCAGAGGTGGCAGTGAATTCAAAGGACTTCTCAGGGGCTTCTGAGCATGGGGCTTTCAGAGGGCATCCAGCCAGGGCCACAGTGTTCAGGTGGGGGCGGGACGGATGCACTGGGGCCCTGAAGCTGGCAAGCCGCATATAGCAGGAAGGAAGCCCCATTTAGCAGGAAGGAAGCCCCATTTAGCAGGAAGGAAGCCCCATTTAGCAGGAAGGAAGGCCCATTTAGCTGGAAGCAACAGAAGTGAGCGAGCCATGGGGTGCTCAGCTTGGCTGCTTCTGTGCCCCAGCTGTCCTATTTATCCTGGGAGCCCACAGAGGTGCCTGGCCTCCTCCCTTCCTGCTAAGGCAGCGGCAGCTGGACCCAGTCTGCTCAGCGATCAGAATCCTGTGGGATTCCATGTGGGCTCTGGAGGCACCTCTGCCAAATCTCCAGGAGCTCCTTGTGTGCCTCTGCAGGCCAAGGTGGGTCAGGGGCTCTTCTGTGAGCAGGATTGTAAAGGGCCAAGATAGGGGCGTGGATCCCAGGGCTCACACCCACTCACCTCTTCCAAGTTTTAGGGAGCCTCTCACCCACTCACTCCTTCCCAATGTCAGGAAGAATCTCACTGACTCACCCCTTCCCAGTGTTAGGGAGCCTCTCACCTACTCACCCCTTCCTCATGTTAGGGAATCTGTCACTCACTCACCACCTCTCCATGCTAGGAATCTCTCCTGGCTCTCAGCTTTTTCCTGTGCTTTCCATGTCCTCAGTCTCTGGTGAGCCCAATGCGCTCTCTTAGAAGATCTTCTTGTTATTTTGGTATTTACTCACCATTTTGATTCCTCTTAACGAGAGAGGCACACGCCAGCTATTTCCGTTCAGCCAACTTGAACCTGAACCCCCAGTCATTTTTCCACCACTTTTTACTTTGGGAAATCCAGTCCCAATGTGCTTATCATTCATTTCAGAATAATTTGTATTTTCTCCAGTAGTTTTTTTTTTTTTTTTGAGACTGAGTTTTTGCTCTTGTTACCCAGGCTGGAGTACAGTGGTGCGATCTCGGCTCACCACAAACTCCGCCTCCTGGGCTCAGGCAATTCTCCTGCCTCAGCCTCCTGAGTAGCTGGGATTACAGGCACGCACCACCACGTCCAGCTAATTTTTTGTATTTTTAGTAGAGACGGGGTTTCACCATGTTGACCAGGATGGTCTCGATCTCTTGAACTCATGATCCACCCGCCTCGGCCTCCCAAAGTGCTGGGATTACAGGCTTGAGCCACCGCGCCCGGCCATCCAGTAGTTTTAAAATGACTTTTTATTTATTCTAAATATCCTTCACTCTACCACAGTAAGACACTAATTTCATTTATAAATTTATGCACATTAAGATTATGTTCTTTCATCATTTCTGTAAAAATGTCAACTATTTTCTTTGCAGGTATTTACTGACGAACATGCCCCTTATTTCTTTCATTCTGAAAGTGTGACACAGAGATATCAGCTCACTCCTGTCATTCTATTTCTTGTGTGCATTAATTATCTTTGTTATTTTTTTATTTCTACGGTTTCTCTGATGACTTATGAAAATTTTAATAATATTCTACACCAATATAGTATTTATCATTTTAGCTGTGTCTTGTTCTTGCTGAAATTATTTCTAAGTACGTTAATATAATTTACTATTTTTCATCTCACAATATCTATCCAATTCATTTCTATAATTGCCTGTTTTTTCTCTAATGGATTCTGTGATTTTCATTCCTCTGGGGTGGTTTTCCTCTCACACACCTGATCTTCCATGCAGAGTTTCTCCCAGGGCTGACTCAGGAATGAAAACTCATGAGGTATTGCTGTAGACACTCCTGCCCTGCAGTGTCCACGCTCCCAAGCTTAGAATCAGCTCTGTGACATGCCCGGCACGGTGGGGCCCACGTGAGCCTCACACACATGTGCGAGAGATGACCGGTCCAACAATGATAAAGCACTTCTGTGTCATGTGCACCAGGGCGAGGTGGCTCTGTGCTGAGTGTGGCCTGAGTCACTGAGCTGAGCTAACCCAGATTCTGTCCACAAACACAGATGAGGGGGAGCCACGGTCTCCCTAGGGTCCCACGGTTTCCTCCACTTTTTTCTTTGTTCTGAGAGAGAGACATAGTGCCATGCCTGCTCTGTGGGCTGGACGGATGCATGTTTCACCTGCAGACTTGAACTCAAGCTGAGGTCTTGAACATTCCTAGGTACTGATAAAGCACCTTAGGTTGTTTCTAGAAAACACTGAAAAATTAACCCTTTTGCTATTGGTGTGGAAACAAGCCCTGCCTTGAACCAAACTCCTGAAATTCTCAGGTTAAACTTCATTACCCAATCCCCTCACTGCAGGCACCCAACAGAAAAGTCACAGATGCAGGATGAGATGACTCACTTTTAAAACGGGGAAGCTGAGAAGGGAACTATTTTGTTGAAAGGAAACCCACAATCCAGTGCCAAGAAAGAAGTCAACTTTTCTTCCCATTTCCCTGCATTTCTTCTCTGTGCTCGCGGCCACACGCAGCTCAGCCTGGACTGCACGGCCAGGTGTCAGGTGCGTCTCTGCTGACCTGAGCCGGCCTGCAGCATGGACCTGCATCTTCCCTGAAGCATCTCCAGGGCTGGAGAGAGGACAGCTGTGGTAATGCCCTTGCACTGCTGTGCAGATGGACGAGGTGAGGGAGGGAGGGAGACCCCATGGGGAGGCTGTGAGGAGGAAGGGGAAGCCCTCACTCACCCTCGTCTGGAAGGGCAGATGTAGAAAAGCACCAGTTCTATTTGCTGCTACATCCCAGCTCCCAGTGAGATGAAAACAAATGAGACAGACAGTGGCTGGTGGTCAGGAAAGACCCCATTACAGTCTGAAATGTCTGCATAGGGGTTGGGCCCACCCCCACCTCAGCCCTAAAGGAATGAGAGCCAGGCTCCTGGGGAGGGCAGTTCTGCTTCCTGTGTGGGTGCAGATGACACAATCCCATGACAAGAAGGACGCAGCCTCCAAGTGTCCACACCCTGTGTGTCTCTGTCCTGCCAGCACCGAGAGCTCATCCATCCAGAGAGCAGGGCAGTGGGAGGAGACGCCATGACCCCCATCCTCATGGTCCTGATCTATGTCGGTGAGATTTGAAGAGGGAGCTGAGATTCTAACCTAGGAGGGACCTCACCCCACAGCCAAACTCTGGTCCATGAGGAGACCCCAGGGCTCACGAATACCCCAGGGAGGGACGGACCTGCTCAGGCTTCAGGGGCAAATCTCTCACAGGAAACTCTCTTCCAGGGCTGAGTCTGGGCCCCAGGACCCACGTGCAGGCAGGTGAGTCTGTCCCCAGCTGGCCCAGGTCCTCCTCCTCACTGGGGACAAGGGCCTCCCCTGTGCAGCTGGGGAGGGGAATAGCAGTTCTGGGCTGACTGATGGGGGTCTGGAGGGTCCTGGGCTGAGAGCTGGAATCTGTTGGGTTGGGTGGAAATGACTTAGAATCTGACCTCTGCTTTCCTGCCAGGGACCGTCCCCAAGCCCACCCTCTGGGCTGAGCCAGGCTCTGTGATCACCCAGGGGAGTCCCGTGACCCTCAGGTGTCAGGGGAGCCTGGAGACCCAGGAGTACCGTCTATATCGAGGAAGGAAAGCAGCATCCTGGATAATGCGGATCCCACAGGAGCTTGTGAAGAAGGGCCAGTTCCCCATCCAGTCCATCGCCTGGGAACACACAGGGCCGTATCGCTGTCAGTATCGAGGACGCACTTACTGGTCAGCGTTCAGTGACCTCCTGGAGCTGGTGGTGACAGGTGAGAGGACACTCGGGTCCCAGCCACAAGCTCTGAGGGGGTCTGCATTCAGGGGCATCTCCCTTTCATAGCCCAGCCCTGGGGATCATGTGGGAGGTGTGAGCCCCACTTAACACGATGCCTCCTTCTCATCTAGGAGCCTACATCAAACCCACCCTCTTAGCCCTGCCCAGCCCTGTGGTGACCCCAGGAGGAAACGTGACCCTCCAGTGTGGCTCACAGGTGGCATTTGATGGCTTCACTCTGTGTAAGGAAGGAGAAGATGAACACCCACCATGCCTGAACTCCCATGTCCGTACCCATGGGTCGTCCTGGGCCGTCTTCCCCGTGGGCCCCGTGAGCCCCAGTCGCAGGTGGACGTACAGGTGCTATGGTTATGGCTCAAGCTCTCCCTATGTGTGGTCTTTACCCAGTGATGTCCTGGAGCTCCTGGTCCCAGGTGAGAAATTCACAGCATTGCCTGGAGATCCCTGAGTCTCTGGGCAGGTGGGGAGGAGCCGCGTCTCAGGGCAGCTCCAGGTGGGACGATGTTGGGGTGAGAGGGCTCAGGGCTCCTGGGTCAGAGACACAGGAAGATCTGCAGTGGTGAGGCTTGGGGAGAGGGAGGATTTGTGGGGAGACTGAGGGTCGGCTCCTGGAGACCATGACCACCTTTCCCAGGTGTCTCTAAGAAGCCATCACTCTCAGTGCAGCCGGGTCCTGTCGTGGCCCCTGGCGAGACCCTGACCTTCCAGTGTGGCTCTGATGTCGGCTATGACAGGATCGCTCTGTACAAGGAGGGGGAACATGACCTCCTCCAGCGCCCTGGCCGGCAGCCCCAGGCTGGGGTCCTCCAGGCCAACTTCACCCTGAGCCCTGTGAGCCACTCCCACGGGGGCCATTACAGATGCTCCGGTGCACACAACGTCTCCTCCGAGTGGTCAGCCCCCAGTGACCCCCTGGACATCCTGATCGCAGGTGAGGAGCCCAGCGGGTTCAGTCAGGGGCCCAGGCTCTGCACAGGTCCTGCCAGGGAGCCCAGGTGATGGCCGGGATGAGGGGTGAGGGTCCCAAGGGAGGGAGAGACAGACAGAGACAGGGGATGGGCGGGGAGGGGGAGACTCAGAGAAAACAGAGACTGAGGGTCCCAGAGAGAGGCCTGGGGAGGTCTCAGCTCAGAACAAGTTGGGGCAGCCCCTCACCCATCCTCTTCTCTCCAGGACAGATCCCTGACACACCCTCCCTCTCAGTGCAGCCGGGCCCCAGGGTGGCCTCAGGGGAGAACGTGACCCTGCTGTGTCAGTCACAGGGGTGGATGGACACTTTCCTTCTGACCAAGGAGGGAGTAACTGATGCCCCACTGCGTCTAAGATCAAAGTACCAAGCTCATAAGTACCAGGCTGAATTCCCCATGAGTCCTGTGACCTCAGCCCATGCGGGGACTTACAGGTGCTACGGCTCACGCAGCTTCACCCCCTACCTGCTGTCTAACCCCAGTGAGCCCCTGGAGCTCATGGTCTCAGGTGAGGGCCCTGACCCTGTCCTCTCTGAGCTCAAAGGCTCAGCTCAGGCCCTGCCCCAGGAGAGCTCTGGGCTGGGATGGAGGGAGGGGGGTCTGAAGGAGGCTCAGCCAGAGGAGCCTCAGCCCTCAGAGGGAAGGACAGTGGGACCCTCCCAGGCACACCCACCCTCAGCCGCATCACCAGCATCCTGAAGGTGGTGGGGAGCAGACTGGAACTTGGCCTCCCCCAGGACAGTCCTGAGGCTCCCAGAGGATCCCGTTCCTCTCAAGGACCAAGCACAGACTTCCCTCCAGGGAGCTGGACAGAGACAGAGCGAGGGCTACAAGCTCCCAGGGGCTCTGAGGCTGCGCTGGTGAGGGGTGGGGTTGAGGCAGTGGGAGATCTTGGGGCCCAGCCTGGGCGAGGAGCAGCCAGGCTGAAGTGGAGAGTAGGACAGCCCCAGCCCTCTGATCCCCATCCCACCCCAGCAGGCCCTCAGGACCAGCTTGTCCCTCACAGGGAGTCAGATCCCCAGAGTGGTGAGTGAGGCGCTCTGAGCGGGAGGTGGGCAGGGTCCGGGGAGGCAGGGGTGGGTTCTGTCATTGGATTAAGGCTCCTCTGGAGATGGTGACATGGATAGGCCCCTCCTCTGCCTGGGCCTCAGTTTCTCCAAGTGTAAAGGAGAGAGGCCTGCACGGGTGGGAAAGTTCCTTTCAGCTCTGACTCCCAGGTTTGACCTCCTGGGAGAGGAGGCCCCCCAGGGAAGCCTCCAGACCTGATTCCTCAGGGGCCTGGGCTGTCCCACCTGCAGCAGTAACGGTGGCCTGGGGCAGGGGAGGGGAGCAGGGCCCTGGGTTGGAGCATTCAGGCTCTTTCCCTGCAGCTCCGGGGCTCGGCTCAGTGCATGGAAGAAGGGCTGCAGGTCAGACTCCTGGGTCCCCTTCCCAGCTCTGCCACTTCCTGGCTGGGGGTCCTGGGGCAGGTGATTCCCCTCTCTGAGCCTCAGGTTTTCATCTGTAAAGTGGGTTGGGTGGATGTTTCAATTCCCCAAGGTAATCCTGTGTCTCCCAGAAGATCCTGTTCCCCTCAAGAACTCAAGCATGTGCTTCCCTCCAGGAGCTGGGCAGAGACAGAGGAAGAGCCACAAGTTCCCAGGGGAGGTTATATAAGTTACATCTAACCTTACATACCACCTGTTATATAACTTATATCTGAATATGTCTCTCCTCCTGGTTTTGAGTCTCAGGAGCAGCTGAGACCCTCAGCTCATCACAAAACAAGTCTGACTCCAAGGCTGATGAGGGAGGAGATGCTTGAGGTGACGGAGCTGGCACAGAGTGTTGGGTCCTGTCAAGGGGAGGTGGGTGCCCTGGGTGGACATCCAGAGGTCCTGGGTGATGCTGATTCTCCTTGATCTCTGTGACCTCTTTGTCCACTCTCCCCAGCCTCACAGCCCCAGGATTACACAGTGGGGAATCTCATCCGCATGGGCATGGCTGGCTTGGTCCTGGTGGTCCTCGGCATTCTGCTATTTGAGGCTCAGCACAGCCAGCGAAGCCCCCAAGATGCAGCCCGGAGGTGAACAGCAGAGAAGATAGTGCAGCCTTCAGAGTGCTGGAGCCTTGGGAACAGATCTGATGATCCCAGCAGGTTCTGGAGACCATTTAGGGCTGATGCTATCTGGACTGTCTGCTGATGATTTCTAGAGGGAGGAAATCAGAGTTCGAGCGCAGAGACATTTTCCAGGGTGATCCATGGAGGACCATGAACATGTGATACTTTCCTCTCCATGAATGTTGACTTCCCATCGTTGGGTCCCCTTCTTTTCCTCCCCCACACATGAGGCTCCATCCCACGTGGCAGCCTCGGGTCTGCACCTCTGCACACCGGCGTGCTCTGGTCCATGGCGTGTAACACAGTCTTCCTTATTCATCATTGCCACACTCCCTGGTGAGAATTATTGAGCCTCCATCTCCTCTGTTCAGAGTTCCAAATGTGGTCCAGTAAATAAATCAATGGGAGAGCATTGGATTTCAATCAGGAAAAGATCAATCCACCCGGATGCCCCAACACCCTCTCCAGACCCTACGAGCCCTTCCTTCTTTCTCAGATGCTATCTCTGTGACTTCCCCTCAGATCATTGTGTGACCATCACTGCCATCCTGTTCCACAGCATCATTCTCACCTGACACCCGCTCAGCAGTCACTCCCATTTCCTCTCCCTCCAGCACCTGGTAACCACGAGTGTGCTTTCTGTCTCTATGGATTTGCATATTCGGTCTGAAAACATTTCAATCCACCCATGACCTGTGAGTTCCTCACTTCATGACGTCCCGCCTTTCTAGGCAGAGCCAAAGTACACCGAGTGAAAACAATGATAAGCATTTACAATGTGTTGGTGATCCACGGAAGGAAAATCACGGAAGTAGGAGAGACATCCAGCTGAAGACGAGACCTCAGGCCAATGAATCTTGTCAATGGGTTGAGCTGTTTCTTTCTACGCACTGTGACAGTCAGATAGAAACATGCAGAAATGACCGGGGTTGATTCTTCTCTGACTCCTCCCAAACAGCAAGAGGACTTGAGTCCCAGCATTAAAGCGTTAAACTTTCCTAGGTCAAAGACCACTGTGTCTGAAGGATGTACAACAGCCTCATAGGATGGAATGGTTGGGGGAAGGATCCTGAGGGACCAAAGAATCCTGAACTTTATAGGACAAAGGGAACAGCCATTCCCCGTTTACCATGTAGAATAAATACATTCCATTAGGGACATTTTCAAAGACTCAACAGAATATGAATGATTACAGTATTATGGTTATAGGTAAAGCATAATATTGTATACATGTTAATATTTGAGAATATCTTCCAAGTCATAGTTTGATTGTGCCAAGCCAAAAACTTGAGCCAGATTTCAGCGATGTCAAGCGGGAGACTATGGTATCTGTCACCAATTACCTTCCTGCATACCTGGCCACCAGCCTTTCCCATGGATCCACGTGTGTCTCGTGACTCTCCGATACGAATCCTGTGAACACACTGACCTCTGCCTTCTACGTGACTGACTTGTAGGGTACTTTTTCAACATCTCCTGGCCTTTTGTTTTTCTGTTGGGAAGTCCAATCCCAATGTGCATGCTACTCTACTGACAGGCTGAGTTGAAAATCACAGAACACAAACATGCGTTTTAGACTATACAATTTATGCCAGACAACTTGAGTCTAGCATACATACTTTTTAATCTACTCCTGATATTTTTCAATGTATCGTGGTAGGTCAAGATTTGCATTTCACGTTTAAATGTGTGCACCCTAGCACTTAATTAGTCTTCCCTCGTCTCTGTCGAATGTTCAACTCTGTAATTCGTGAGTTGTTGCCTGATGTCATTCCCCCTTCTTTCCTTCTGACATGTGCAGTAGATATGAGGTCCTCCCTCCTCACAGTATTCCCCCAAGGATGATGAATTTCCACTTTCGGTGCCTCCATGGTGCATTCTGGAAAATTCTCTCAGTTTTGTTTTCCAATTTAATAAGTGTCTCTTCAGCTGTATCTTGACCCTGATAGAATAAATATTTTGATTGTATTCTTCAATAGAAATTTTCACCTTTAGGATTTCTTACTCATTTCTCTGATGCCCATTTTTCACCAGGATAATTCATATTTTTGTATCAAAAATTTAATTTCCTCTATTTTAGATATTTAAACATGTTTAAGTGAAAAGGGTCTCATACATTCCTAGAATTCTATTTTCTACACTGTTGTAAATAGCGCTGTAACAAATATAATGAGTGCTGCTGTCTTTTTTATATAATTACTTTTTTTTAAGCTGGATACCGTGAAATGGGATTGCAAAGTGAAATGGTAGTTTTATTTTTAGTTCTTTGAGATAGCTCCCTACTGTTTTCTGTGAAAGATAAACTCATTTACATTCCTACCAACAATGTATCCTTGCTAACATCTGTTGGTTTTGACTTCTTAAGAGTCGCCATTCTGACTGTTGTCAGTTGATATACTCAGTGTGGTTTTAAGTTGATTTTCTCTGATGATTAATCATGTGGAGCATTTTTTAATGTGTTTGTTGGCCACTTATATTTCTTCTTTTGAGAAATGTCTGTTGATGTTGATGTGCTTTACTCAGTTTTCTATAAATCTGTGGGCCTTTCCATGTGGTTTTTCACGTTCATGAAGTTGTTTGTGGTTTTTTTTTCAGGTGGAATTCTTTGACTTCCTTGTAGATTCTGGACACTAGTCTTTTGTTGATGGCATAATTGGCAAATATTTTCTTCCATTTTGTAGGCTGTCTGTTCATTCTGTTGATTGTTTCTTTTGCTGTGCGGAAGCTTTTAATTTTAATCATGTCTCATTTGTATATTTGGGTTTTTTTTTTTTTTTTGCATTTTTAAAGAGTCTTTATCATAAGTTCTTTGCCTGGGGCAATGTTCAGAAGAGTTTTTCCTAAATTTTGTTTTAGGATTTACATAGCTTCCGGGTCTCACATTGAGGTCTTTAATTTATCTCGAGTTAATTTTTCTACATGGTGGGATTTAGGGATCCAGTTTTACTCTTTTGCAGACAGCTACCCAGTTTTCCCAGCATCCTTTATTGAATAGGGTGTCTTTCTCCATTGTTTATTTTTGTTGACTTTAGCAAAGCTCAGTATGTTGTAGGCAGGCAGCTTTATTTCTAGTTTCTCTATTCTGTTTCCTTGGCATCTCTGTACATTTTTGTACTACTAAATGCTGTTATAGTTACTATGGCCTCATAATATAATTTGAAATCAGACAGTGTAACGCTTCCAGGTTTGTTCTTCTTGCATAGAATTGCTTTAGCTGTTCAGGCTAATTTTTGCTTTCAAGTGAATTTAACAATTGCTTTTTCTCTAATTCTGTTAAAGAAATGACATTTGTAATTTGATAGGAATTGTGTTGAATCTGTAGTATGCTTTGGGCAATATACTCATTTTAACAATATTGATTCTTCCAATTTGTGAGCAAGGAATGTTTTTCTATTTGGTTGTGTTGCCTAAAGTTCCTTCCATCTGCGTTTTGTCATTCTCTGTGTAGAGGTCTTTCACCTGCTTGGTTAAATATACTTCTCAATCTCTCTCTCTCTCTCTCTCTCTCTCTCTCTCTCTCTCTCTCTCTCTGTGTGTGTGTGTGTGTGTGTGTGTGTGTGTGTTTGTGTTCTTAATTTGGTTCTCAGCTTGAATGGTACTGATATATAGATAGGCTATTGATTTTTCTACCTTGATTTTGTATACAGAGACTTTACTGAAGTCATTTATCAAGTCTACAAGACTTCTGGAAGAATCTGCAGGATTTTCTAGGTATACAGTCATGTCATCAGCACACACAGATAATTTCACTTCCTCTTTTCCAATTTGGATGCGCTTCCTTCTGTTGCCCGAGTGCTCTGGTGAGGACTTCTATATCTGTGTTGAACAGGAGTGGTGAGAGTGGATATCCTTATCTTGTTCCATTTCTTGGGAAAAACTTTCACTTCTCCCCCTTCAATTTGATGTTGGCTGTGTGTTTGTCATGCAGGGCTCTTATTATTTTGGGCTGTGTTTCTTTTATGCCTAGTGCATTGAGGGATTTTATCATGAAGGGATGTTGAACTCTATTGAATAGTTTATCTGCATCTGTTGAGATGATAAAATGCTTTTTGTTTTTAGTTCAAGTTTATATCATGAGTCACCTTTGTTGACTTGCATATATTGAACCATCCTTTGATCTCTGGAATAAAGCCAACTTGATCATGATGAATTATGTTTTTGATACACTGTTAGATTCCATCTGTTCATATTTTCTTGAGGATTTTAGCATCTGTGTTCCTCAGGTCTCTTGGCCTGTGGTTTTATTTTTCTGTTGAGTCCTTGTCTGACTTTACTATCAGGGTGATACTGATTTCACACGAAGAGTTAGGAAAGAATCCCCATCCTCGATTTCTTGGGAATAGTTTCAGTATGATTGGTGTCAGCTCTTCTCTGTATATATGGCAAAGATTGTCTGTGAATCCATCTATTGCTGGAAGAAGTTTTAGTACTGATTCTTTTTCATTAATTATTGTTGGTCTGCTTAGGGTTTCTATTTTTTCCTGTGCAATCTTGGGAAGTTGTATGTGTCTAGGAAGTCATCCATTTTCTCTAGGTTTTCTGGTTGATGTGCATAAAGGTGTTCACAGTTTTCTCTGATGATCGTTTGTATTTCTGTGGTGTGAGTTATAATGTCATCTTTATCATTTCTGATTGTGCTCATTTAAATCTTCTCCTTTTTTGGTTAGTGTAGTCAGCCATCTGTCAATATTGTTTATACTTTCAAAAAACCAACTTTTTATTTCATTGATTCTTTGTAATGTTTTTGTCTTAATCTCATTCTTTTTCTGTTCTTTCAGAGTTTCCATTGTTTTCAGGGTCTGATGCTAGAGAGTGAATGCGATCCTTTGGTGGTGCCACCATATTCAGATTTTTCACACATCAGAATCCTCACACTGATTCCTTCTCATCTGGAGAGGCTGCCACTCATTCTCTTTGGATTTATTGTCACTGGGATGGGGTTTCTCTGCACATTTCCCCCAGCCCCGCAGGGAGTGTGACTGTAGAGCACGTTGGGAAGAGTCTCTAGGCTTTGTCCCATAGTCTTGGGGGCTTCTGCAGCAGGGTTTGTGTTGGGCTGTGCGGCTCAAATGCAGGCCGGGAGCTGGTGCTTAAGGGGAAGAGCCAGCCTCTGCACAAGCAGGTGGGTGTGGACCTGCCGCTTCCTGTGAAGTGCTGTCTGTTGTTTCAGGTGAAGGGCTGGACTGTGGAGTGTCTGGAGCCCTGAGCTTCCTGTTCCGCGGGGTGAGGAAACACAGCTGGGCAGAGCCGGAACCACTGGTTTGCCCACAAATACCCTAATGATGAGTGCCGGCCGCAGTCCTGAAGCGTGTGGCTTGGGCAGCATGTGGGAAATGCCCTGAGGTCTCTGTTGGGGGTGAAGGAGCTACATCCATTTCCAGTCCCATAGGGAGGAACATCACCTGTTTCTCTATCACACGCCTGCTCCAGGGCTCTTGAGTCTCAGTTCAGACACACACTGTTGTCCCTCCCCAGGCCACTGTGTGGCTGACAGCCATGGGAAATACCTGCCTGCCACTCTCTGCAGGAATCATCCCAAGGTAGAACCTCCTGACTCAGCGCAGTGCAGACCCCTCAGCGGCTGCCTGTGTCTGACGTGGTCACGCTGCTGCTTCATGCAGCTGGGATGTGGGGCTTCTGCCTTTCTGGCTGGACAAGCGGAAGTCAGTTGTGGTGTTGCTGGCTGGGGGCACCCGACCTCAGGCCCTGGGGTGAGTGGTCAGGTGCCAGCAGAGTGGGAAAGGGCTGGCAGTTCCCCGGATCACAGGCCTCTAGGTGGCCAGCTGGACAATGTGAGTCCTAAAGGGGCTGGACTGGGATTTGGCTGTTCCAGGGTTCAGGTGCCGGCTGTGATCAGGAGGGATGGGCCGGTCCCCAGGTCATCGGCAGAACTCTCAGGCGGCGCAGGCAGAACGCTTAGGTGGTAGAGTCCGGGGGCAGATCACAGGCCTGTGGGGACCGGGCTCTCAGAAGAGCTGGAGGCTTCGGCTGAAATGTCCAGGTGGGGGCCGGGCGGCTGTGCTGTGGGCCTGTGACTGGGGAGGGCAGGGCCCCTCGGCTGGGGCACTGGAGACTGGCAGCTGTGGGCACAGGGCCCGCTCACACTTCCCTCCTGAAGAAGTGGCACTCAGTTTTGCTCTGGGGACACGCAAATGTGCCAGGTCTCCCTACTCCCTCCCTGGGCCTGGGGCAGCAGGGGCCGAGGCAGAGGTGGCACTGACTGCATAGGGCTCGTCAGGGGCCTCTGAGCATTGGGCTTTCAGAGGGCACCCAGCCAGGGCCACAGTGTTCAGGCGGGGGCAGGACGGGTGCACTGGGGACATGAAGCTGGCAAGCCCCATTTAGCAGGAAAAAAGTCCCATTTAGCAGGAAGCGACAGAAGTGAGCGAGCCATGGGGTGCTCAGCTTGGCTGCTTCTGTGCCCCAGCTGTCATATTTATCCTGGGAGCCCACAGAGGTGCCTGGCCTCCTCCCTCCCTGCTAAGGCAGCGGCAGCTGGACCCTGTCTGCTCAGGGATCAGAAGCCTGTGGGATTCCAGTGGACTCTGGAGGCACCTCTGCCAAATCTCCAGGAACTCCTTGTGTGCCTCTGCAGGCCAAGGTGAGTCAGGGGCTCTTCTGTGAGCAGGATTGTAAAGGGCCAAGACGGGTGTGGATCTAAGGGCTCACAGCCACTCACCCCTTCCCTTTGTTAGGGCGCCTCTCGCCCACTCACCCCTTCCTCATGTTAGGGAATCTGTCACTCACTCACCGCTTCTCCATGTTAGGAACCTCTCCTGGCTCTCAGCTTTTCTTCCCTGTGCTTTCCATGTCCTCAGTCTCTGCGGAGCCCCAGTGCGCTCTCTTAGAAGATCCCCTTGGTGTTTTGGTATTTACTCACCATTTTTATTTCTCTTAACGAGAGAGGCACATCAGCTGTTTCCGTTCAGCCAACTTGAACCTGAACCCCCAGTCATTTTTCCTCCACTTTTTATTTCGGGAAATCCAGTCCCAATGTGCTTGTCATTCTTTTCAGAATAATTGTATTTTCTCCAGTAGTTTTAAAATGACTTTTTATTTATTCTAAATATCCTTCACTCTACCACAGTAAGACATTAATTTCATTGATAAATTTATGCACATTAAGATTATGTTCTTTTGTCATTTCTGTAAAAATGGCAACTATTTTCTTTGCAGGTATTTACTGACTATCATGCTCCTTATAAGTGTGACACAGAGATATCAGTTCACTCCTATTTCTTGTGTGCATTAATTATTTTTACCAATTTTTTCATTTTTAAGGTTTCTCTGATGACTTATGAAAATTTTAATAATATTCTACACCAATATATTATTTATCATTGTAGCTGTCTCTTGTTCTTGATGAAATTATTTCTGAATATGTTAATATAATTTGTATTTTTCATCTGACAATATTTATCCAATTCCTTTCTATAATTGCCTGTTTTTTCTCTAATGGACTCTGTGATTTTCATTCCTCTGGGGTGGCTTTCCTCTCACATACCTGATCTTCCATGCAGAGTTTCTCCCAGGGCTGACTCAGGAATGAAAACTCATGAGGTATTGCTGTAGCCACTCCTGCCCTGCAGTGTCCACACTCCCAAGCTTGGAATCAGCTCTGTGACATGCCCGGCACGGCGGGGCCCACGTGAGCCTCACACGCATGTGCGAGAGATGCCCGGTCCAACAATGATAAAGCGCTTCTGTGTCATGCGCACCCGGGACAGGAGTTCAGTGCTGAGTGTGGCCCGGGTCACTTAGTTGAGCTATCCCAGATTCTGTCCACAAACACAGACAAGGGGGAATCACCGTCTTCCTAGGGTCCCATGGTTTCCTCCACTTTTCTCTTTGTTCTGAGAGAGAGACATAGTGCCATGCCTGCTCTGTAAGCTGGATGGATGCATGTTTTACCTGCAGACTTGAACTCAAGTTGAGGTCTTGAACATTCCTAGGTACTGATAAAGGAGCTTAGGTTGTTTCTAGAAAACACTGAAAAATTAACCCTTTTGCTAATGATGTGGAAACAAGCCCTGACCTGAACCAAACTCCTGAAACTGTCAGGTTAAACTTCATTACCCAATCCCCTCACTGAGACACCCAACAAAAGTCACAGATGCAGGATGAGATGACTCATTTTTAAAACAGGGAAGTTGAGAAGGGAACTATTTTGTTGAAAGGAAACCCACAATCCAGTACCAAGAAAGAAGTCAACTTTTCTTCCCATTTATCTGCATTTCTTCTCTGTGCTCGCGGCCACACGCAGCTCAGCCTGGACTGCACGGCCAGGTGTCAGGTGCGTCTCTGCTGACCTGAGCCGGCCTGCAGCATGGACCTGCATCTTCCCTGAAGCATCTCCAGGGCTGGAGAGATGACAGCTACGGTAATGCCTTTGCACTGCTGTGCTGATGGACGGGGTGAGGGAGGGAGGGAGACCCCATGGGGAGGCTGTGAGAAGGAAGGGGAAGCCTTCGCTCACCCTCATCTAGAAGGGCAGGTGCAGAAAAGCACCAGTTCTATTGGCTGCTACATCCCAGCTCCCAGTGAGATGAAAACAAACCAGACAGACAGTGGCTGGGGGTTAGGAAAGACCCCATTACAGTCTGAAATGTCTGCAGAGGGGTTGGGCCCACCCCCACCTCAGCCCTACTGGGGAGGGCAGCTTTGCTTCCTGTGTGGGTGCAGATGACACAACCCCATGACAAGAACGACCTAGCCTCCAAGTGTCCACACCCTGTGTGTCTCTGTCCTGCCAGCACCGAGGGCTCATCCATCCGCAGAGCAGGGCAATGGGAGGAGACGCCATGACCCCCATCCTCATGGTCCTGATCTGTGTCGGTGAGATTTGAAGAAGGAGGGGAGATTCTAACCTAGGAGTGACCTCACCCCACAGCCAAACTCTGGTCCATGAAGAGACCCCAGGGCTCACGAAGACCCCAGGGAGGGGCGGACCTGCTCAGGCTTCAGGGGCAAATCTCTCACAGGAAACTCTCTTCCAGGGCTGAGTCTGGGCCCCAGGACCCACGTGCAGGCAGGTGAGTCTGTCCCCAGCTGGCCCACGTCCTCCTCCTCACTGGGGACAAGGCCCACCCCCATGCAGCTGGGGAGGGGAATAGCAGTTCTGGGCTGACTGATGGGGTCTGGAGGGTCCTGGGCTGAGAGCTGGAATCTGTTGGGTTGGGTGGAAATGACTTAGAATCTGACCTCTGCTTTCCTGCCAGGGACCCTCCCCAAGCCCACCCTCTGGGCTGAGCCAGGCTCTGTGATCACCCAGGGGAGTCCCGTGACCCTTAGGTGTCAGGGGAGCCTGGAGACCCAGGAGTACCATCTATATCGAGAAAAAAAAGCAGCATCCTGGATTAGGCAGATCCCACAGGAGCTTGTGAAGAAGGGCCAGTTCCCCATCCAGTCCATCGCTTGGGAACACACAGGGCAGTATCGCTGTCAGTATCATGGACACACTCACTGGTCAGAGCTCAGTGACCCCTTGGAGCTGGTGGTGACAGGTGAGAGACACTCAGGAGCCCCAGCCCCAGGCTCAGTCCAGGAGGACGGTTGGCTCTCAGGGGCATTTCCCTCTCACAGCCCAGCCCTGGGGATCATGTGGGTGTGAGCCCCACTTAACATGGTGCCTCCTTCTCTCCTAGGATCCTACAGCAAACCCACCCTCTCAGCCCTGCCCAGCCCTGTGGTGACCCCAGGAGAAAACGTGACCCTCCAGTGTGGCTCACAGGTGGCATTTGATGGCTTCAATCTGTGTAAGGAAGGAGAAGATGAACACCAGGCCCGTACCTGTGAGTCATCCTGGGCCGTCTTCTCCGTGGGCCCCATGAGCCCCAGTCGCAGGTGGACGTACAGGTGCTATGGTTATAACTCTCACTCTCCCTATGTGTGGTCTTCACCCAGTGATCTCCTGGAGCTCCTGGTCCCAGGTGAGAAATTCACAGCATTGCCTGGAGATCCCTGAGTCTCCGGGCAGGTGGGGAGGAGCCGCGTCTCGGGGCAGCTCCAGGTGGGACGATGTTGGGGTGAGAGGGCTCAGGGCTCCTGGGTCAGAGACACAGGAAGATCTGCAGTGGTGAGGCCAGGGGAGAGGGAGGATTTGTGGGGAGCCTGAGGGTCGGCTCCTGGAGACCATGACCACCTTTCCTAGGTGTCTCTAAGAAGCCATCACTCTCAGTGCAGCCGGGTCCTGTCGTGGCCCCTGGGGAGACCCTGACCCTCCAGTGTGGCTCTGATGTCGGCTATGATAGGTTCGCTCTGTACAAGGATTGGGGAACTGACCTGCTCCAGCGACCTGGCCGGCAGCTCCAGGCCGGGCTCTCCCAGGCCAACTTCACCCTGAGCCCTGTGAGCCGCTCCCACGGGGGCCAGTACAGATGCTCCGGTGCCCACAACCTCTCTTCCGAGTGGTCGGCCCCCAGTGACCCCCTGGACATCATGATCGCAGGTGAGGAGCCCAGCGGGTTCAGTCAGGGGCCCAGGCTCTGCACAAGCCCTGCCAGGGAGCCCAGGTGGTGATGGTTGGGATGAGGGATGGGGGTCCCAAGGGAGGGAGAGCCAGAGACAGGGGGTGGGCAGAGATGGGGAGACTCAGAGCAAACAGAGACAGAGACTGAGGGTCCCAGAGAGAGGCCTGGGGAGGTCTCAGCTCAGAACAAGGCGGGGCAGCCCCTCACCCATCCTCTTCTCTCCAGGACAGATCCCTGACACACCCTCCCTCTCAGTGCAGCCGGGCCCCACTGTGGCCTCAGGAGAGAATGTGACCCTGCTGTGTCAGTCACAGGGGTGGATGGACACTTTCCTTCTGACCAAGGAGGGAGCAGCTGATGCCCCGCTTCGTCTAAGATCAAAGTACCAATCTGATAAGTACCAGGCTGAATTCCCCATGAGTCCTGTGACCTCAGCCCATGCGGGGAACTACAGGTGCTATGGCTCACGTAGCTCCAACCCCTACCTGCTGTCTAACCACAGTGAGCCCCTGGAGCTCGTGGTCTCAGGTGAGGCCCCTGACCCTGTCCTCTCTGAGCTCAAAGGCTCAGCTCAGGCCCTGCCCCAGGAGAGCTCTGGGCTGGGATGGAGGGAGTGGGGGCTCTGAAGGAGGCTCAGCCAGAGGGACCTCAGCCCTCAGAGGGAAGGAGGACAGTGGGACCCTCCCAGGCACACCCACCCTCAGGGGCATCGCCAGCATTGTCAAGAGCAGAGGCGGGTTGGGGAGGGGACTGGAGGGCCACAGGGCCAATGTGGAGAAATTTGGTTTGAGGTAGAGGCTTCAGGCAAGACTCAGCTCCTCCGCCTCCTCTCATTCTTTACCCAGGACCCTCCAGGGGACCCAGCCCCCCATCCAGCAGTCCCACCCCCACATCTGGTGAGTGACTAAGGCCTCTTGTTGAGGAGGGACTGTGGCCTCCCCCAGGGCAGTCCCAAGTCTCCCAGAGGATCCTCAAGGACTCAGCACAGGCTCCCAGGGTCCCTGAGGCTGGGCTGCTGAGGGGTTGGGGCTCGAGGTAGAGGGAGATGTTGGGGCCCTGCCTAGGGGAGGAGCAGCCGGGCTGATGTGGGGAGATGGACAGCCCTAGCCCTCACCTCTGTGTCCTGACCCAGCAGGCCCTGGGGACCCGCTTGTCACTCCCCCGGATTCAGATCCCCAAAGTGGTGAGTGAGGGCCTCTGAATGGCAGGTGTGCAGGGTCCAGGGGAGGCAGGGGTGGGTTCTGTCACTGGATTAAGGCTCCTCTGGAGATGGTGACGTGGACAGGCCCCTCCCCCACCTGGGCCTCAGTTTCTCCAAGTGTAAAGGAGAGAGGCCTGCACAGGTGGGAAAGTTCCTTTCAGCTCTGACTCCCAGCTGTGACCTCCTGGGGGTGGAGGCCTCCCAGGGAAGCCTTCAGACCCGATTTGTCAGGGGCCTGTCCTGTCCCACCTGCAGCAGTGACAGTGACACTGACCTGGGGCAGGGGAGGGGAGCAGGGCCGTGGTTCAGGAGATCAGGCTCTTTCCCTCCAGCTCTGGGTTTCAGCTCAGGTGCAGGGAACAAGGGCTGCAGGTCAGACTCCCGGGTTCCCTTCCCTGCTCTGCAGCTGCCTAGCTGGGGGGCCTGGGGCAGGCAACTCCCCTCTCTGAGCCTGTTTTTTGTCTGTAAAGTGGGTGGGGTAGACATGTCAATTCTGTGCTGCTCGACTGTTGTGGGGGTTGGAAATGAATGAGGGCCAGCAGTCACCTGCACACAGTAGGCGCTCAATCAGTGACATCACCCCATTCCTGACGTCATCATGCTCAAGGTCTGGGAAAGCACCTGGGGGTTGTGACCGGGGTCTCAGTGGCCCTTGTCCTGCTGCTCTTCCTCCTCCTCCTCTTCCTCGTCCTCCGATGTCGACGTCAGGGCAAACACTGGACATCTGGTGAGTACAGAAGGGGGGATCCTGTGGGCCGACCGAGGGTGGGCTCAGGGCAGCAACCAAAGAGAATCCAAACTGCTGGGAAAATGCAGCTTTGCGAAACCGTTCCAGCATTTCTCAGCAGGCGAATCGAGAAAGCACTTAATGTCAGTCCCCACGTACAAATGTAAAGTGTCCTTCGGGCTCTATCTTATGAGACATTTGGAGCATGGAAGCAGGAGTGTTTCCAGGTTTCCTCCCTTACCTTCGAGCTGCGTGTGCAGGGCAGGTGTTCCCAGGGCTGAGACTCTGTCCTTCTTCACGCAGCCCAGAGAGAGGCTGATTTCCAACATCCTGCAGGGGCTGCGGAGCCAGAACCCACAGGCAGAGGCCTGCAGAGGAGGTAATTCTGCCTGAAGACCCCAGACTCCCCCCACCCCAGCCCACACACTGCTCCTAAAGCTCCCGTGTCCTCTCCTAGGTCCAGCCCAGCTGCTGACACCCAGGAAGAAACCCTCTGTGAGTGAGAGGAAGAGGAGGTGACCCCAGCCAGGAGGGAGATGGGGGCCCACAGTTTCCATAGCAATGGGGAAAGGGCACAGGCTGGAAGGGGTCTGAGGCTCAGGGTGACAGGATCTCACCCCACACTGTGGGACCTTCAGACATCACAGCCCCTCCCTGGATCTCAGTGGCCGGGTCTGGGAGCTGGGCAGGGGCTGGTGGGGCTGAGAGGTCCCAGGGAACCTTCCCAGGAGATGAACCCCTTGCTCTGCCCAGCAGATGCTGTCGTGAAGGGCACACAGCCTGAGGACGAGGTGGAGCTGGACACTCAGGTGAGACCCCGCCCCTGTCCCGGGCACCAAAGGCCTCCTGGTGCCGGATCTAACCCAGCAGGACTTCTCTGTCCTCCTTCCCCGGCTCTCAGCACCGTCCAGGGTGGACCCTCCATGTCCAGCATGCTGCCTCCCGCCTGCTGTGACCTCTCTCTCTCCTGGTGTCCTGGGACCTCGTGGGCCTCCTCCCGGGTCCCCTTCCTGCTCCTCGTCCTCTGTTTGGCCGTCTGGTTGTTAGAGGGCTCCCCAGGCCTCAGGAGGATGAGGAATGAACCACCCCGGTGCCCTGGGCTCCCCTTCATTCATTCACCCAGCGAGTGTTCCCAGGAGCTCACTGTGGATGGGGCTCCCCGTGGGAGCTGCAGACACAGCAGGGAGCAAAGCCGCCCCCGCCCTCCTGAGCTCACCTCATGGTGGGAGACAAAATGCAAATAAACACACAGTGTCCAGGAGTGCGACGTGCTGTGAGGACAATAAACCAGGGAAAGGGCAGAGAGTGCAGGGCAGTGGGGCCAGTCTGAATGGTGAGGGGAGGGCTGTCTGGTCAGCTGTCATCTGAGAAGCCCGGACGGAGAGGGCCACACCATCCTCTAATGGACGAGCCCCTGCAGGCAGAGGAAACAGCAGTGCCAAGGCCCCGAGGCAGCAGTGAGCTCTTGTGGGAAGGCGGGTGTGAGGCTGCAGCCAAATGGGCAAGGTCAGAGTGAGGAGCAGAGGCCAGAACCGCAGGGAGGGAGCAGCCGGACCCTCCACAACCTTAGCGCGTCCCTGAGATTCCATCAGGAAAGGGATGTAAACGGATCACTCTGGGAACACTGGGAGAACTGACTCCAGGCGGTCAGGGGGACTCAAGGACACCCCCCACCACTGTCTCTCCAGCGCAGCCCACATGATGAAGACCCCCATGCAGTGACCTATGCTAAGGTGAATCACTCCAGACCTAGGAGAGAAATGGCCTCCCCTCTTTCCCCTGTCTGGGGAATTCCTGAACACAAGGACACACAAGCAGAAAAGGACACGCAGGACAGGCAGGCAGGTCCTTTCCTCTCTCTCACCCCCACCACATTTCTTCCCTCTCATTCTCCCCGCTCTGCAGGCTGCTGCATCTGAAACCCCCAAGGATGTGACCTACGCCCAGCTGCACAGATTGACCCTTAAACGGGAGGCAACTGAGTCTCCTTCGTCCCAAGCAGGGGAACCTCCAGCTGAGCACAGCATCTACGCCACTCTGGCCGTCCACTAGTCCAGGGAGGACCCAGACTCTACACACCATGAAGACTCAGGACCCCAGAAGGCATGGAAGCTGCCCCCAGTGGGCACCATTGAATCCCAGCCAGCCTGAACCCCTAACATAGACCACCAGAAGATTCTGGGAACTTTGGGAGTCACCTGATTCTGCAAAGATAAATAGTATCCCTGCATTATCAAAATAAAGAAGCAGGCCTCTCAGTTCACAATGAGTTAACTGGTAAAACAAAACAGAAGTCTAAAAATGTTTTTAAATTGATTGATCATGTAAATATTACACATCAAACCAATGACATGGGAAAGTAGCTTCTAATCAGGACAAACAAAAGATAGAGAAAAAGTAATAAAGTCAAAAGGTTTATTCTTGAAAACATTAACGATACATGAATCTTGGTCACAATGAGGAAAAAAAAAAAAGAGCAGGCACACATTTCCATACAGGAACAAAACAGGAGGCAGCACTACAGACCCTACACACAGCTTTACAAGGTGAAAGAAAACTGAGCAATTCTGCACTGACGTAACAGAAAACGCAGATGAGATAGATGAAATATTCAAAACTACAGTTTATTTAATGAACTTATAGATAAATGGAAAATCTGAATCATCATATGTAAACATATATAAAATGTATTCATCCTGTAATCAAAAATGTTCCCACAAAGCAAATGTCACTTCAGGAAGGTTTGTTGGTGGCTTTTTCAAACACTTATGCACTCAAGAAACACACACACACACACACACACCCCATACCCAAACTTGCATAAATTTTCCCTGAGAATACTTTGTATATATTTACATGAATAAATTTTATCACACTAGGAACAAATTGATACCAAAACTTGACAAGGAAACTACAAAATGGGAAAGTCATAGAAGATCTCTCAAAGAAATTTAAATCCCTTAACAAATATTAGCAAGTAAGATTCATGTCTTTATAAAATAGACAATATATCATGACCACACTGTTTTTTATTATTTTTTTATTTTGTTTATGAAAAGCAAGAGTAGCCAGGGGAGGGATAGCAGGGAGTGGGGAGGTTGGGGAGGAATAACATTAGGAGAAATACCTAATGTCGGTGACGGGGATGGAGGCAGCAAACCACCATGGCACGTGTATACCTATGTAACAATCCTGCAACATCAGCACATGTACCCCAGAACTTACAGTAAAATAAAAAAAACTCAATGTAATTCAACCTTTTTTTTTTTTTTTTTTTTTTTTTTGAGACGGAGTTTCGCTCTTGTTACCCAGGCTGGAGTGCAATGGCGTGATCGCGGCTCACCGCAGCCTCCGCCTCCTGGGCTCAGGCAATTCTCCTGCCTCAGCCTCCTGAGTAGCTGGGATTACAGGCACGCGCCACCATGCCCAGCTAATTTTTTTTTTGGTATTTTTAGTAGAGACGGGGTTTCAACATGTTGACCAGGATGGTCTCGATCTCTCGACCTTGTGATCCACCCGCCTCGGCCTCCCAAAGTGCTGGGATTACAGGTTTGAGCCACTGCGCCCGGCCTGTAATTCAACCTTTTAACAAAATTAACAAAAATGACCAACTCAATAGACAAAGCTTTTGTCTTAGCACTTTTTCATATACATGCTGACCATTTGCATGTCTGCTTTTGAGAAATGCCTGGTAAGCTCCTTTGCCTGTTTCAAGTAGTTTCTGGTTTGTTGCTCTTTCGTTCTTTTAGTTCCTCATATATTTTTGAATATTAATCCTTTATCAGGTATAGAGCGTGAAACAATTTTCTCCCATGTCTGCATTGTCTCTTGATTCTGTTGTTTGCTGTGCAGAAGCTGTTTAGTTTGGAGCCACACCCTTTGTCTATTTCTGCTTTTGTTGCTTGTGTTTTCAGGGTCATATCCAAAAAACCTTGCCCAAACCAACTTTTTGAAGCTTTTCTTCTGCCTGTTTTGTATATGGGATAAGATAAGGGTTTGATTTCATTCTTCTTCATATGAATATTCCGGGATGTGACCTGTGCCCAGCTGCACAGCTTGACCCTCAAACAAGAGATAACAGAGCCTCCTTCCAGGAAAGGGAACCTTCAGCTGAGCCGAGCCTGTATGCTGCTCTGACCATCCACCCGCCCAGGGAGGAGCCAGACCGCTTGGCTAATTTTTGTATTTTTAGTAGAGACGGGTTTCACCACGTTGGCCAGGATGGTCTCGATCTCTTGACCTCATGATCCGCCCGCCTCGGCCTCCTAAAGTGCTGGGATTACAAGCGTTCCGTTTAATCTTTGAAGCTGGTGATTTCGGGAGTGTCTGAGTGACGTTTTTTTCTGTTGAGTTGGAGCTGTACCTCTTTTGGCCTGTAGAGGGCGGTGCTGGGCTCTCGGGTTCAGGCAGGTTGCTGGGTGGGCGGGCCCTCCCTGGAGATGGTTTGCAGGTGGGATGGGCCCCGCCCTTCCCTGGAGATGGTTTGCAGGTGGGATGGGCCCCGCCTTCCCTGGAGACGGTTTGCAGGTGGGATGGGCCCCGCCCTCCGAATAGCGTCTCCCAGAGCTCCAGCTTCCTGGTTGGGGTCAAGCTGGTGTATTTGCGGCCTGAGTTCTGCGGAGGTGCGGCCTGCCAGGCCTTAGGGTCTGCTTCCCTGCTTTCATCTCTGCCCCCCTCTGTGGGATGGTCAGTCCTGCTGGCCTTGGTCCAAACTCCGCCCAGGTCCCTGCGACAACGGGCCTCATCCCGAGGTAGCTGCTGCTCCGGTTTGCATGGCCCACCCGCAGCGCCCCACCGTCTGGCGCGTCTCTCGTGGACCGGACCGTGGGTTGCAGGAGAGATGAGGTAAGCACAGGGTACGAAACGGGGCAGCGAGGGGGTTAAGTCCCCCAACCCTCCCAGCCAGCTGCACATTTCAGGTGGGGACGTGTCCCCAGCCCCGTCTTTATTTGCCCTCCTTGGGCAGCTCTCGCCCTGCGGCTCCTTCTCTGGGTCTATTTTAGGGTCCTATCAGTCCCGCAGAAATGAACCTGGCACCTTGTTCAGAATCGTGAAGTCCCTTAGCCCTCTGAGTCTCATTCTGGGGGAGCTGCATTCCGGTGCTGGCTTCTCTGCCATCTTGGTACCGCCCCCTCCCACACACATTCTCACTTCTTTTTCTAAAAGGGTAACAAATTATCTTCAGCTTGCACCCCTCTGTAATGCACTCTAAACCCTGGAACTTCCTTCACCTCAAAACTTTAAAAAGAAGGGACTCATTTTCTTATGCACAAGGGCATGGCGTCTTTACTAAACCTTTGCAAGTGTTGTAAAATCAAGCCAGCTATTTTACCAATCATACCAGGCAGGCCTAGGGAAATAGTTCTCCAAATTAGAAGAGCAACTTTCAGGGGAACCATTGAATAACCCCCCTTATGTGAAGCCCCCTCAAGTTCCCTTCTCATTACAGAAGCTTAGGCAAATAAACGGAAACTTAGGCCAATTTTCTAAAAACCCGGATGGTACATAAAACTTTCCAAAATTTAACTCAGGTGTTTAACTCATGGAGGGATGTTATTTTGCTCCTAAACCAAACCCTAAGAGCAACTAAAAAGCAGGTAAGGCTGCAAACAGCAAATAATTTTTTAAAGATAAGCAATATGTCTTCTGTCACACACTAAAAGGGGGGAAAACATAGGGAAGGCAAAGAAATAGCAGAAACACCATTTCCGAAAGGGAGGAAAGCAGGCCAGTAAACAACCGTAACTGAAACCCCATAGCTCAGAAAATAAATGGAAAAAGAGGCACTTTTTAATATGCATTTGAAAAGGCCTACGGAAAACCAGGGCCAAACCCTCAATCACTCTAAACTGTCTATAATGGACCAAAAGCCGAATAAAAATCCTGTAGCCTTTAAAAATGGCTAAAAGAGGCTCTAATAAGGTGCACCTCCTTAGCTCCAATTTCAGTTAAGGCCCAGCTCATCCTGAGGACAAATTTATTACACAGACATCTCCCAATATTTAAATTAAAAAAAAAGAAAGAAAAACAAAACTACAAAAGCAAGCTGTAGGGCCAAATAGCACCTTTAAAAGCCTCCTGAATGTGGCCACTTCGGTCTTTCATAACAGGTACCAGGAGTCGTCCCAAAAGAAAGAGAAAAGCTCAGGAGAAGGACAAAGCCTCTTGCAGCAGCTTTGCAGGCTCGCGAAGTCCAGGATCACCAAGGTGCATCCCCTAGTTGCTGTCAGTGTGGCAGGCCAGGGCATTTTAAAAAGAAATGTCCAGGGAGCAAAATGAAACAACCTCGACCCTGTTCAGCCTGTGGCCAAAACCACCGAAAACGGAACTTCTCCCAGAAGTGGACGCCACTGAGTTCAAACTCCAGCCTCAGATGGTCCAGCGAAACTGAGAGCTCCTGGGGCTTGAACCTTGGCTCCAGTGGCTCAAGCTGCCCTTACAGCACAGGAGCCCTGAATAATTCTGGAAAAAAAGTTAAAGAAAAGTAGACTTCCTTGTAAACACTAAAGCCAGTCTCTCTTTTCTCTAACCCAGGCCTCCCTTCTTCCCATAGCACGACCATAAGGGGCATCTCGGGAAAAAGTCTAATCCAATATTTTCTCAACCTTAGTTAACACGTGTTTTGAAGCTACTGTCATGATAGCTCTACTGGTCAGAAAAGCCCAAGTTAACCCTAGAGAATTATTTAACTGCTTACAATTCTCATAATGGGGCAGGATCACTGTCCTCTAGGGGGCGCTCTTAGCTGATAAACAGGCGGTAAATCAAAAAGTACATAAGGCAGAAGCAGCAGGAGTTGCTCTTCCCAGGCCAAGCACTCAATTAGCTGAGCTAACAGCTCTTACAATAGCACTTAAATTAAGCAAGGAGCCGGGCGCGGTGGCTCAAGCCTGTAATCCCAGCACTTTGGGAGGCCGAGGCGGGTGGATCACGAGGTCAAGAGATCGAGACCATCCTGGTCAATACGGTGAAACCCCGTCTCTACTAAAAATACAAAACATTAGCTGGCCATGGTGGCGCATTCCTGTAATCCCAGCTACTCAGGAGGCTGAGGCAGGAGAATTGCCTGAACCAGGAGGCGGAGGTTGCGGTGAGCCGAGATCGCGCCATTGCACTCCAGCCTGGGTAACAAGAGCGAAACTCCGTCTCAAAAAACAAAACAAAAAATTAAGCAAGGAAAAGGT